ATAATGAGTGGAAACGAGCTATGAATGAAGCAGAAGTATGGATGATGCCTCTTCATCTTCGAAGATTATTTATTCGAATTCTAATTCATTGTAATCCTTTATACCCTGGTGAATTATGGAATGAATTTAAGAGCGCCATGTCAGAAGATTTTGGACAACGCATGACTGAAACACAAGCACAAGCACGAGCTTTCCAACAAATTGACAATTTCCTGAAAGAAGAAGGACAAAACTTGACTGATTTTCCATCTATGCCACTAATTGACAACAATCAAATGGATGTCATTGACGAAAATTATTACATGAAGATTTTAGCAGCAGGTTCAATCTATTACCAAAAATTGAACAGCACGCAAAAAAAAATCGATAGAATATTAAATTGTGTCGATAATGGATCAAATGATAATGAAAAATGTTTTTACATTGATGGGCCAGGAGGGTCTGGGAAAACATTCATGTATATTGTGGTATTTACTAACTGGGCGAAAAGAAAAAATTCAAACAATGGCATTCACTGGAATTGCGGCCATATTATTGCCACATGGACGTACCGTACACAAAACACTTGGTTTACCAGTTCCTCTTCATCCAGATTCTCATTCTACCATTAAATTTGGAAGTAATGAAGCACAACACCTTGAAGAAACTAAGGTTTTCATTTGGGATGAGGCTCCTATGGCACCCCGCTATGCACTTGAAATCATGGATAAATTATTGCAAGATGTTATGGATAATGATTCCCCTTTTGGTGGAAAAATAGTTGTGCTAGGTGGTGATTTTAGAAGGCTTCTCCCAGTTAATCCAAGGGGAATACGGAGTGAAACAGTGAATCTCTCCATTAAATATAGTTCAGTATGGAATCATTTTCAAATCCATCATTTAACCGAAAATATACGAACTTTACCAGAGGAAATAGAATTTTCACAGTTTTTATTGAAAATTGGAGATGGCGACCTCAACGACCATGAAGATAATATCATCCTCCCTGATTTTTGCATCGATGCAACAAATGCTAATATTGCAAGGGATATATACGGTATCAGCTTGAATGGCAGAAATATCAAGAAAGCCGCGGCAACATTAGCTGCCAGAAACGTTGATGTTAATGAAATAAATAGCGAAGTAGTTGAATTACTGGACATAGAAATAGAACGAATGTACACAAGTGTTGACGGCACCGAAAATTGTAATGATAATGATATTATCAATTCAGATTTAGTACCAGAGTATTTGAACACCTTAGCACCAACGAGTCTCCCTTCTCATGAACTACGTTTGCGACAATTCTCTATTGTAATGCTGATTAGGAACCTAAGCATTAGTGAAGGCTTATGTAATGGTACCAGATTATTGGTTCTTGAGTTGGGAACAAACGTACTACGATGTGAAATTCTCACTGGGAATAAAGCTGGAGAACTAACTATTTTACATCGTATTAGCCTTCAATGTGAAAATATATATCCGTTTACTTTTACGAGGAGACAATTTCCTATCAAATTGGCCTTTGCGATTACCATAAACAAATCACAAGGACAAACTTTCGAAAAAATTGGAATCGATTTACGGAAAAATGTGTTCAATCATGGACACTTATATGTAGCTCTCTCGCGAGTTCGATCTTGGAACTCATTGAAAATCTACATTGGAAGTCATCGAGAAACGAAAACTATACTAAATCCTGTTTTTAAAGAATTATATGAATGAATGTATCATTAAGGATTACATAATTGGAACTATGAAAGGTACAAGTCAATTGTAGCCAAAAAAGCAATTATCTGAAAATATATCATTATCTATTACATATGGTTATGCTTTTTTTCAGCTAAAAACGACCCTACGCTCCACTCTTTAGTTCCCCTGTAGATTCATTCTTGAGAAATAAACGAAATCATAGTGGTAGAAACAATGATATTCTCATGATCAAATGAAATTAAGAAAAACAAAAGATATCGTTGAAAACCTGAATGATCACAAATTAACGTCCTTTAAGCCCTAGCGGTCAATTTAAGGGAAAAAAAGATGAAAAACGTGGAAAATAAATTGAGAATCCTCCCAATAAATTTGGTAATACCAAATATTTCTATTGGTAATGGTTTATTGATGATTCATTGGTTTATTGATGTTCTAAACACATTTGTTCTCTTATTGAAAAAAAAAACGTACGCTGCGCACTTCACGTTAGATAGTACAGACAAATGCAATAAAAAATTTCTTATGAATTTGTTAATTTGTGGAGATTTTTCAAAAAATAATAAATCAATCGAAATGAGCAGAAGTAGTAGTGAAGAAAGTGTCTCTGTGAAATGTAAGATATTAATACTCGAATATATTCATCAATAATACTAATGTTTGAATTACTGATCATGCAGCATCCGGTAATCCCGTATCAAACAATGAAAATCAAACGTGTGATAGTGAATTTACGTCATCTGCCGACATCAAAAAAATTAAAATTGGTGACAGACTTGTGTAAGTTCAAAATTGATGAATTATTAAATTTAAGAGGTTATCCTCGAAAGTTAAAAGGCTCTCGGAATATTGTTTTTCTAATCTTTCAACAAAAAATTAAATAATAAACACAGGGCATGTGGAGAACTATATGTGCATATGTGTGAAAATATTTCAGTTGGATGACATGTTGTAGAGCAATTCTGAAAATCTTGAAAAATTTCGAAAAATATTGAAAAAATAATTTCATTTTGGGTCTGTTGTTCAATTCTATTTTTCTATGACGATAAAAATGATTTCTTTTTTGGTGTGAAAAAATGAAAAATGTTGACTATAAATCAATGAAACATCAAATTAAATTTAAATAAAATTGATTTTTTCCTGATTGATATTTTTCAAGTATTTTTGCTAATATTCTAGGGATATTATCGGGTTTGTCGATCACCCAGCAGTTGGAAAATATGTGAAAGATGATACTTATGTCATATCCTGTTTTATTGATAATGATGATGGCCAAGTAGTGAAAATAGTAGCATGGAACAATGATGCGCGGAGACTTGAATCTTTGATGGAACCAGAAGCAGTATATACATACAACTTCCATAAATCCAAATAATATAAATATCAAAAATAATAACTGAATTATTAACCAATCACATTAGATTCTTCATATCAACGGAGTAAAGGCAAAAGATACCAGTCCTCGATTCAATGGTTTTGGTACTGTAGATTTACAATTGGACATACAATCAAACACAGAAATTCACAAACTCAGAATGCATAAAATAAAACCTCGTGAAATTGAAAAGAAGAAATTAAGCGAAATGAAGGGTGGTGAGACGAGAAAAATTTGTATGTTATTACTCTGTTATCATTCAATCACCATTGTGACTGAAAGAACATTCAAATCTTGCAATCATTACTCTATTTTCGTTCTAGATTTAACTGGATTTATTAAAACTAATTTTGCAGTAGCCATATTTCACAATGATCAAACGAAAAATACTTGCTTTGGATCAATTGCTGAAGGAAAAACAAAATTAACAATAAAAATTAAAGAATTTAGTAATGATTTTACCAGTCCTGTAGAAATTAGCGATCACATAGAACTACTTGGCAGAATAGATAAAACCGGTAAGAAAAAAAAATAGAATATTAATAATACATAAATAACTCTTCATGAATTTTTTTAAGGAAATCCACCGTACTTCTTAGTTGAAAAAATTACTGATATAACAAACACTGATAACACTTCGAAGATGACAACAAAATAACTACGATCAGCCAATCAAGAACTAAGCTTTCCATCAACTTCCTCATTAACAACTCCCTCAAAAATCCAAAAAAAGAAACGTAAAACCACAAAAATTATACAAAGTGATGAATCTGACTAAAACAAATATGTAATTAATGAAATGGAATAATAAATGCTCGAGTATGAACGATAAAAATTAAATTTTTTATGGTAAAATTATATTATAAAATTCTGTTTAGGCGGGATAGGCGGGAGTATACGCGCGCGTCTATACCCTAGTATCAGAAAAGTAGGAAAAGGTCATCGATCAGAACGGCGCGAATATCATTGATGTCTAAAGGAGGTTAGGCAGTGTTTGAGGTGAATTTGAGAGTGAATTTCTGTGGTTCCCGGTAGCTTAGTCGGTAAGAGTGCCCGGCGCGTATCTGGGAGACCCGGGTTCGATTCCCGGCTGGGTGAAGCGGAAATTTTTTCTCTCAAAATTCTAATTCTCTTAGAATTTTTTAATGCTTAAAGGAGGTTAGGCGGTGTTTGAGGTGAATTTGAGAGTGAATTTCTGTGGTTCCCGGTAGCTTAGTCGATAAGAGTGCCCGGCGCGTATCTGGGTGACCCGGGTTCGATTCCTGGCTGGGTGCAGCGAAACGTTTTTCTCTCTAAATTCTAATCCTCTTAGAATTTTTTTTTCAAAAGAAAAAAGAAAAAAAAATAAACAAAAAAAAATTCAAAGAGAATTAGAATTTAGAAAGAAAAAATTTCCGCTTCACCCGCCGGGAATCGAACCCGGGTCTCCCAGATACGCGCCGGGCACTCTTACCGACTAAGCTACCGGGAACCACAGAAATTCACTCTCAAATTCACCTCAAACACCGCCTAAGCTCCTTTAGGCATTAAAAAATTGTAAGAGAATTAGAATTTAGAGAAAAAAAATTTCCGCTTCACCCAGCCGGGAATCGAACCCGGGTCTCCCAAATATGCGCCGGGCGCTCTCACCGACTAAGCTACCGGGAACCACAGAAATTCACTCTCAAATTCACCTCATACACCGCCTAACCTCCTTTAGGAATTGAAGAATTCTAAGAGAATTAGAATTAAGAGTGTATGTTTAGAATTTATATTAACAAATTCACTTTGAAAAACATGAAAAAAACCGAAAATACTTTTTCCCCAACCCAATATTACCTTCACGAGGATTTCTTCATACGGGGGTGGACTATGCCGGCACACTCCTTACTCTCAAATGGCGACCCACCAATGCCCAACCATCTAGCGTTCATATTGGAGTATTTGTGTGTTTCAGTACATCCGCAGTCCATTTAGAATTCGTTTCTAGGCAGACAACAGACGCATTCATCGAAGCCTACAAGAGATTCACCGGAAGGAGAGGCATCCCCGAGGTTATGTACAGTGACAACGCAACCACGTTCGTTGGCGCTTCAACAGTCCTCAACAAGCTGTACAAGCAGCCATCTAGAGAGAATCTACAGATCCAGGCTGCTCTCGCCACCAACGGGACTCAATGGAGCTTTTCACCACCGAGAGCACCCCATTTCGGTGGCAAATGGGAGGCAGCTGTCAAATCAACGAAATATCTCAAAAGAGTACTTGGGTCGACAACATTCACCTACGAGGAACTCAATAGCATCATGATCCAGATAGAAGCCTGCCTCAATACCAGGCCAATCACAAAGATGTCAGATGACCCAGAAGACCTCCAAGCACTCACCCCACGTCATTTCCTAATGGGTGAGCCTCTATAGGTGATTCCAGAGCCATCAATCATCAATGAGAACCCCAGCAAGTTGTAGAGATGGAATCTGATCACCCAGAAAATAGAACAATTCTGGTCCAGGTGGTCCGGTGAGTGTCTTCAAAGATACCAAACTATCTACAAGTGGAATCAACGACGAGAGAACATCAAAGTTGGAGACATGGTCCTGATGGTAGACGAGGAGTATCCACCAGCAAAATGGCCATTCGGTATAGTAGTGGCAGTTCACCCAGGAGATGACGGCCTCACAAGAGTTGCAACCATCAAAACATCATGAGCAGTAGTACCAACTCCACCGAAAGGTACCTCCAACATCGAGAGAATCACCAGTACCAGCATGACATTCATCAGACATTCATGACATTCATCAGCAGAACATCTGGTCAAACTAAATTAGTATGACTCAGTCAATTAATTTTCTTAAATTTCTTGGCTTTTTGGGGTGCATCCCAGCTGCGTCCCCGTCGCGAACCCTGGCTAACGCTAAACGCTGGTATGGTTTTATATAAAATGCCATACCATGCGTCACTGAATTTAATTGACGATAGTCGTAATTTTGCATTAATAATTATATGCCTTAGGAGGAAGGTGCCGATTGGAACGACCCATACACCTACGCTGGTTCCCACCACAATAGGTGTGGATACCAGAACGACATTAAATTCAATATTAGCTACCTAGGTCGCCCACATAGATTGGAGTCATCGAAATTTAGTTTTACCGAACATCCCCCAGAAAACGATCCCGAGCCAGTCAATGAATAATTATCGCAGAGAAGTGGCAGCAGAGAAATTCAACGCACAATTAATCATCCCTGATGATGAATGGCCCACGGGATGTTTTAAATTCAGCTATTCAAACTATTCAAACGATCACCGGGCTCAACGAAAATCTCGAGAAACTTCGGGACCCTTCGGGGTCGCGGTCAGTTACGAAGAAAATCGCCGAAAAAGTCTGCAGTATCGTTCTAGACACCGAGAGAGTCACTCAATCGCTCAATCGAGTACATAACCGGAATATATCAACGCGGTATATTTGAGTCTAGCGCTTTGTACAGCGTCTCTATTTAATTTAATTCAATTATCAATTAATTCCGAGATAACTATGAATTATTTTGAGTCAATCATCAAGTTTAATATCGAGAAAATCTTAAGTGCAGTGCATTTTTCAAATCATCATTTAATTGACTTTGTCGAGCAAATCAACAGTGTAACATCATTAATTTATCAAGACGCGTGGGTTATTCCACAATAAAGTGCATCAACAGTGTGGTTTTATAATTCCGCGTGTTTTAATTTTCCACCTCCTTCCACAATTCCACTTTTCCCCAACCGGCATCTCAATTTAGCTTCAATCTCAAACAAGTAGGTTACTAAAATTTTGCTATCTCTCTTAGATTCGGAGATATTATCTGGAAACTCAGCTAAGAACTCAGTCAACTCAAATCGTTTTATTATTTTGCTCCCAATTTTGCTCAGGAGTTGCGCTCCTTCAAAAGTATAATGGGCCACAATACGAGATTGAATGTAGTGATCAATTAACAGACCTGTAGAGATGATTAGCGGAAGGATTTTCAAGAAAAAATGCAAAAATTTGAAATTTTTATTTTTTTTAAATGTGTTGCAGGCGGAATTTCCGAACTTTTCTTTTTCTCAAAATGTGGGTAATTGAGGCTAGAAACTCGTCAATTTTTATGAGCTACTCAAGTTTTTGAACGCAATTATAAACCGTGAAATATAGGGGCTTATCTTAACACCTAAATCCCAATAACTCCAATAAATTAAAGGCTAAATCCAAAAACTTTGAAGTTGGGTCCCACATGTGTTGACCGAACACAACCTAGGCCAACGTATGAACACGTGCCTTTCACTGCTTGCCCAGCAACAAAAAAGGACTTCTTGTGGAGGATTGTGACGGGTGATGAAAAGTATATATTTGACGAGAATGCCAAACGTAAAAAGGCGTGGGTAGATCCCGGACAATTCAGTACAAGACACCAAGTCTTATTATAGTACAAGAACGAAGAACTTGATCGGAAAAGACCATGTACTGCGCAAGGAAGCAGGCAAGTCATACTGCTGCATGACAATGCTCGACCTCATGTTGATCGCGCGACTCAGAAGACCCGCTTAAACTTGAGATGGGAAGTACTCCCGCAAGCGGCATATTCACCAGACTTGGCCCCATCGGACTATCACTTGTTCCGGTCCATGCAGCACGCCTTAGTGAATAAACAGTTTGAAACGCTGAACAATGTGCGTAAATTCGTCGATGAGTTTATCGCCTCGAAGCCTGCAAGTTTCTGTCGCGACGGCATTCGAATGTTACCTGAGAGATGGTGCATGATCATAGAAGGCGATGGACAATATTTATAAGATTAAGTCCGTTGTTCTCTATTTTTTTATGTTAAATAAATTGATTGAAAAACCTGTAAAAAATAAGTCACACACCTAATAATTATTAAATCAATGATATAAGAGAAAATGAATACGCATTTTTATTTATTATAATAAATTAATAGAAAAATAACTCTGGTTCCTCCGTGGAGATGGAGAGATTGAACTGGTACCAATTAATTAGGCCCTGGAGATTGGCTATTTTCAAGGTTACTGGAGACTCCAAAATTGAATCTAACATTGGGTGGTGATGAATTTCGTTGCGGCATAGCTAAGTTCTCTGGAAAGATGAAGGGTTTCAACTGGCATTAATAAAGATATTCATAGTTGAAAATTACATGAGAGGATAAAATTGACTGCAGTGTGTTGAGGATTTCATTCTTAATCGACGTTTGCGCTTTCAACCCCACCATCTTTTCGCAGAAAATAGATATGCTACTATGAGACTCACCGCATCCCAAGATTCTATTTAATACGCCAGTCCCGAATGATCTTGAAAATAGTCGATCCACTGGAAGATAGATTTGTACAAATTCAACCTTTCCATCTTCTCAGAAGAAATGGCAATATCGTGACAGACGGCACAACAACGCTAGATTCATTCAATTCTCACGCCTTAGGTGATCTTGAGACTGCCATTCCTTGAAAATAAAATCGTATCTCGGGGTAATTAACATGGAAGAATTAAAGTAGCAACAATCGTTTCATTTTCAATGCACGGAAATGAGTTTAACTAGATAGAGTGCTTCACTGTAAGATCCCACAATTGACCTTGAATGATTTTTAAAGTGCGGAATCAATTACACGCAATTCGTTAATCCGTCCGAGCGAGGGCGCCACTATCACCTAATTTTTTTCTCGCAAGTGATTACTTACGAACTTGTCGATAAGTTGGTGGACGGCTCGGTTTCATTTCCCATTGCGTCAGAGAATTCATCTTTGAATTCCGTGCATTTCGAAGTGTCGCGATGGAAGTGGTTCCGCAGATTGTGGTAATTGCATTCCATAATTGTTATGACGTGAGTGAGTGAAGGAGTGAGTGAGTGAGTGAGTGAGTGAGTGAGTGAGTGAGTGAGTGAGTGAGTGAGTGAGTGAGTGAATGAGTGAGTGATCTTTGTGCTCCTGCGGCCCCCAGGGAGCTTTAAGGTCATAAGGGCCTTGCGTGTACAAGGTACAACAAGGAACAATTGGTTAAGAGGGTCGAGAGGATCAAACTCCCTTACTTAATTATTTGATTAAGCCTATTTCATGTTACAAGGAGGGGTAACGGAGGTGATCTTTGTGGTCCGGGGACCTGTAAGGTCATAAGGGCAATACGGGTCTCAAGGTACAAGGAACAACAGACTATGAGGGTCAAGAGAGTCAATCTCCCTTACGTGATTATTTGATTAAGTCTATATTCATGTTAAAAGGAGGGGTAACGGAGGTGATCTTTGAGCTCCTGCGGCCCCCAGGGACTTTTAAGGTCATAAGAGCCATAAGGGTCACAACGTACAACAAGGAACAATAGAGTACGACGGTCAAGAGGGTCAAGGTCCCTAACTTGATTATTTCCTGGGACATTTAAGGTCATAAGGGCCATACGGGTCACAAAGTACAACAAGGAACAATAGTTTACGAGGGTCAAGAGGATCAAACTCCCTTACTTGATTATTAGATCAAGTCTGTTTCATGTTACAGGGCGGGGTAACGGAGGTGATCTATCTGCTGCTCCGACCTTTAAGGTCATAAGGACCATACGGGTCACAAGGTAGAACAAAAAACAATAGGTTACGAGAGTCAAGAGGGTCAAACTCCTTCAGTTGATTAATTGATTAAGTCTATTTCATGTTACAACGAGGGGTAACGGAGGTGAAATTTGTGCTCCTGGGACCTTTAAAGTCATAAAAGCCATACGGGTCACAAGGTACCACAAGGAACAATAGGTTACGAGGTTCAAGAGGGTCAAAGTCCCTTAATTGATTATTTGCTTAAGTCTATTTCATGTTACAAGCAAGGGTAACGGAGGAGATCTTTGTGTTCCTACGGCCCCCAGGGACCTTTAAGGTCATAAGGGCCATACGGGTCACAAGGAACAACAAGGAACAATAGGTTACGAGGGTCAAGAGTGTCAAACTCCTTTACTTGATTATTTGATTAAATCGATTCCATGTTACAAGGAGTGGCAACGGAGGTCATCTTTGTACTCCTGGGACTTTTAAGGACATAAGGGCCATACGGGTCACAAGGTACAACAAGGAACAACAGATTACGAAGGTCAAGAGGGTCAAACTCCCTTACTTGATTATTTGATTAAATCTATTTCATTTTACAATGAGGGGTAACGGACATGATCTTTGTGCTCCTGCGGCCCCCAGGGACATTTAAGGTCATAAGGGCCATACGGGTCACAAGCTATAACAAGGAACAATAAGTTATGAGGGTCAAGAGGGTCAAACTCCCTTACTTGATTATGTGATTAAGTCTATTTCATGTTAACAGGAGGGGTAACAGAGGTGATCTTTGTGCTCCTGCGACCCTCAGGGATCTTTAAGGTCATAAAGGGCATACAGATTACAAGGTACAATAATGAACAATAGGTTACGAGCGTCAAAAGGGTCAAACTCCCTTACTTGATTATTTGATTAAGTCGATTCCATGTTACAAGGAGTGGTAACGGAGGTGATCTTTGTGCTCCTGGGACCTGGAAGGTCATAAGGGCCATACGGGTCACAAGGTATACCAAGTAACAA